CAGTAGTAGTGGTAGATGTTTAAATAATAACCATCATTCTCAGAAATAATAGAAGTCAATTAAAGTGGTACATCACAAAAACATAGCATTTAAACATTTATTTTAACTTGAAATGCGTAACGTATATTTATTGCCGATATTTTGATGTGAGACTAAGACCTTTCCTTAAATAAGGGTTTATTGATTAAAATTACCTATTGTCTTTCTAACAGACCTACACATTTTCCAGTCTAGAAATTTCAGTTTTGGTTTCTTTAAAATAGAGCAGAAATTTTAAAACACTTCCAAAGCAATGTAGATGTGTAATCTATCTGGATTTCTTTGAATTCTCCCTTTCTACACCTAATTGGAAGGTTGGGCAATCCTACTTCCGTGGTGATACTGCCTCGGAAACCCAAGGAGGGGTCGCTATGAGTCGGGGCTGACTTGACGGCAAATAACAACAAACAACAACACCTAATCTGATGACAAATTCTTAAGGTAACTTACATGACTTACATGTAAGCATTTTAATAAGTTTGCATAGGAAACTGGTAGCTCTGGTGGCGTAGTGCCTAAGGCATTTGACTGCTAACCAGAAGGCTGGTGGTACAAACCTACCAGCCATTCCTTGGAAGGAAGGTTGGGCACTCTACTTCCGTAGTGATACTGCCTCAGAAACCCAAGGAGGGGTCTCTGTGAGTCAGATCTGACTAGAGGGCAGTGGGTTTTGGGCATAGGGAACTAACAATATTCTTTTCCCTCTCATATTTCATTGATTTCCATAATGTTTATTTGAATTATGTAATTAAAATAAGATTATAACTTACATCTGAGAGTGTGGGAATAAATATGAAGACCTCAGTTAGTGGTGGTACCAAATCCACTAGTCATGAGTTCTTCCTCTGCTCTGGATAACAGTCAGTATGATTTAAGAGAAAGAATATAGACCAGAGTAAACAAAAACAAAAACAAAAAACCCCAAAATGAGTGCTGTTGAGTTGAAACCCACTCATAGCGACCCCTTCTTGGGTTTCTGAGGTAGTATCTCTATGGGAGTAGATTGCCCAGTCTTCATTCTGAGGAGTGGCTGGTGGGTTTAAACCACCAGCCTTCTGGTTAGCAGTCAAATGCCTTAGGCACTATGTCACCAGAGCTCCTATAGACTAGAGTAGTAGTTCTCAAAGTTAGGTCCCTGGAGCCAGAAGCATCAGCCTTGCCTGGTATAATGTAGGGCAAGGAATCAGATAATGCATGAGGGATAAGAATTAGGATCAGCACAGGGATGAGAATCAAGTTCCTAGGAGGTGGAGGTCAGATGTGTCTCCACTTTTCAACTTCTCACCATTTCCACCAGCCTTCCACCCCACCCCCACCCCCACTCCCACAATACTCTCTACTTCCTTGCTGGGTTCAATAATTCATTGCAATGGCCACACATAACTCGCAGACTAAACTTCCAGTTAAATGCTTTATTAAGGAGGTAACAGGCAATAGCTTGGAATCAGGATCAGGAATCATGTAGGCAAGATCTGGAAGTCTCTCCCAAAGTGGAAAGCACATCCCTCCCTTCAGTGCAGGACAGCTCTCTCAGTTCCTCTCAGCCATGCAAGCAAATAGGCCTGTCTATTGGCCATACAAACAGGCAGGCCCTTCTCTTGGCTGTGCATGTGGTCTCTCTGTGATGCTTGTAGCCTTTCTGCCTTTGGCCGCCCTCCCATTGGCCATTCAGCTGCTAACTGGCCCAGCTAAGAGTGTAGCAGCTTGCTCAGCTGCTTCTCTCCTAGCAGCAGCTTTTTGCCATCACTGCTGGTTCTGCCTTATGGCCACTTCCAGGACTGGCTCTGCTGCTCTTCTCTTCCAGGCCTCTAGCCATATTCAATGTTACAGCCCTTGACTTGTATTTCTTTTAGGAGGTTCCTTGACTCCTCTGTATCTTCTCTCCTTACCTCTGAAAACCTCTCTCTCTCTCTCTCTTTCTCTCTTTTCTCTCTCTCTCTCTCTCTCTGTGTGTGTGTGTGTGTGTGTGTGTCAAACTCCTTGTCAATTTCAAGGCACAGCCCTTTCAGCAGGACCATACACTGACCAATTTTCAATCTACTATCTGAATAGTAAATTGACCAGTCCCTTCAAAGTATATAAAATAGACCAATCACAAGGCAGACTGTAGCCCAGGGCCAGAAAAAATTAGCAAACTATCCAGTTGTTTACAGTTTATCCCAGAAATGTCAGTTAACCTGGGAACTCCCCAGTAACATATTCTCTGGGGTAGAAAACAATGTGGGAGCCCCCTCAGGAGTTACATCTCCAAAGAACTAGGGCAAAGGTAACTCCTCAGGGTTTAGGGGGAAAAAAATCTCTCAAGCTATTTTTCCAAAGATCGAGGCAAAAAGCCACATAAAAGAACTCATTTCACCAGCTGGGAACCTCTAGAAATGCACATTCTCAGGTCCTACCCCAGATCTACTGAATTAGAAACAGTGGGAGTGGAGCCCAGCACTCTGTGTTTTTAACAAGATCCATATATGATTGTGATGCTTGATTAAGTTTGAGAACCACTGGGCTAGAACATAGGTTCTAGTTAACCTGATGTGCCGCAACTGAAGATCAGTTCTAAGAGCTTCTGCTGTTTTGGAACTAGTAATAAAAAGTCCATGTAATTTCAAAGAGAGCAACTTATTTTATAATAGGAGTTTGTGATTTTTTTTTAAACAAATAAAAAAAGCCTTTTTTTTTTTTTTCTGTTGGTGATGGAAATGAGTATTGAGAAATGACAGGGAGGAAAAGCCTTCCAATACTGAGGAAGCTATTACTCTTAGTTTCCAGATGCAGATGTGAACCCTCATTCTTTCTATTCTCCTACTTTTTGGAGACATTCTGATTCTCCTAGTCTTTTTTTCAAAAGCTTTAAAGAATAATCTTTCTCTTTCGTTGTGAAAATTTGTTTTGCTTCCTATTAGGCACTAGAGGAGGTTTCATTATATGGAGCTTTATGACAATTTTCATCAATTTAGCACCGAGAGGTTGTCATGTTATTTTTGTATTGGTGATACAATACAAAATAGACACAGACTTGACATTCTTAGTCAGCTGCTTGCTTATTGAGCCTGGGTTTTATTAGCTGGATTTGGAGACTTTTTTTTTTTTTTTTTTTTAATTCAAACACTAACTCAGACATAATCATTTCAATGTTTAGATGAATCAGTTCAGAGAATGTTAGTGAATTCTAAGGGCAGATCCAAAGCAACAACATCCTCAGACTCTCCTCACTCTTGTTTCATCCTCTTATGTTACCTAAATCTCAGTTACTTCCATTGTAATCAGGAGTTGTGAAAATATTGGTATTGAACATTTTTGGATTAATCACTTAAAAATGCTGGTCAGAGAATTAAATTAAACTAGAAAACTCAAGGGTAAGGAGAATAATTTACCAAAAGTGTTTCCGTGGAAGTTCATCAACATTAAAAAGTCCCAAATGCTAGCAAGAAACTCTTGTTAATTTTTGAAATTACAAAATAATTTGTGGTCTTTGTAGAATATTTAGGAGATCTGGTGGTGCAGTGGTCAAAACATTGAGTTGCTAACCAAAAGGTTGATGGTTTGAACCCACCAGCTACTCTGCAGAAAGATGAGGTAGTCTGCTTCTGTAAAGTTTTATGCCCTTGGAAACCCAATGGGGCAATTTTACTCTGTCTTACAGGGTCACTAAGAGTTAACTTGAAGGCAGTGGGTTTTTTTAAAATAGAATATTTAGAAAATATATATAAGAGAAGAAAATAAAAGTATCTTATAAGCTCATTACTCAGAGATAACCACTAGCTACATATACATACTCACACCTCCCCCCCCCATATTTCTCAAACCTCTTTTGTGTAGTCTATTTTATTTTTTTCATGTAATACCTCTATATTTGGGAGGGAGAAGTAAATATAGAGCTGCCTTATTATTTTTTAAAGTTAATTTATCAAATCTCAAAATTATTTCTACCTTATTCTATACCATAAATTTTCATTATCTAAAAGTTACTTCTTTCTAATAATTATTTCCCTAGTTTGGCTTTTGCTAGGCAAAGGAATTTGACAATTCCTTTTTCTACACAAAAAGAAGACAAACCATTAATTTGGAAATAATTTCAGGTTTTGTATATAGGATTGTTGTTGTTGTTATGTGCCATCAAGTCGCACCCGACTTATAGCGACCCTCCTTGGGTTTCCAAGGCAGTATCACTACGGAAGTAGATTGCCCCATCTTCCTTCTGAGGAGTGGCTGGGTTTGAACTGCCAGCCTTCTGGTTAGCAGTCAAGTGCCTTAGCCACTATGCTACCAGAGCTCCTTGTATATAGGATAGGTTTCTGATAATTTTGGCTTGAAGAAATTAACTTGTTATATCAAAATGTAGACAGCTTGCCCATTTAAAAGTCTCATCCATCTGAAAAAAATTCTATTTGCTAAGATTCTTTTTGTATTTTATGCTGCTAATAACTGTCTTCTGAATTTTTGAAGGTAATTTGATGAGAATGGTCTGTTGTTGTTGTTGTTGTTGTTATGTGCCGTCGAGTCGGCCCCGACTCATAGCGACCCCTCCTTGGGTTTCCGAGGCAGTATCACTACGGAAGTAGGATTGCCCAACCTTCCTTCCGAGGAGTGGCTGGTGGGTTTGAACCGCCAGCCGTCTGGTTAGCAGGCAAGTGTCTTAGCCACTATGCTACCAGAGCTCCCAATGGTCTGTTAATATGAGTGAAAACTGTGTGCTTAAGAGAAATCATGAAGCCCGTTAGAATGAATGTGGTGCTCTAGAGCAGCATTGCACATTGAAGTGTCTCTAAAAGGATGATGTTTCTGTGTCTTTGCGTGTGTGTGCATCCGTGTGAGTGTGTGTATGTGCATGTGTGTTTGTGCATATGTGTGTCTGTGTGTGTGTGAGAGACCCTCAGTTCTAGTCAGAGATTTTACATTCCTTTTCTCACTGTAAATTTAGACCCTAACACGTGTCAGTGATAATGTAATTTTTTTAATATAAGACGGAAGAAATAGCCGAGGAGGGAGCAGAAGGGGAAGCAGAGGAGGAGGAAGCAGAGGAGGAGGAAGCAGAGGAGGAGGAAGCAGAGGGAGAAGCAGCTGAAGACGGAGAAGAAGAAGATTCATAGACCATTTCAAGCTTTATTTTTTCAACTTTTCCAGGTAACTACATGATTCTGGGGTTGGAAAATTGGTTTATTATAGAAATATAATATAGTAGGTTGTTTGTAGTACATTTTACTGGGTAATAGGAGAAAAGTGGATTCCAATCCATATGCACCTGCTTCTCTTCCCACACTAGTCTGTATCCTTTATGGTGTCCTGTCTCCTTTTTAGAGCTTCAGGGCTTGTGAACCCCATTGGGTCCATTTCTTGGACACTGGGGCACAAGATGCTATAGTCAATAGGATTTCTAGGAAAACACATACCTTTGAAGTGGAGAAGAGTTTTGTTTTATAGATATTTCCTTCTCTTCTTCTATATAGCCTTCTTTAAGAGAAGGTCCGGGAAGTGTTCTGCTATGAACATTCTATTACTAAGACTCAGCCACTGACCAGTACACTTGCAGGACTACGTTGTTGTTGTTGTTGTTATGTGCCGTCGAGTCAAACCCAACTCATAGCGACCCCTCCTTGGGTTTCCGAGGCAGTATCACTATGGAAGTAGGATTGCCCAACCTTCCTTCCGAGGAGTGGCTGGTGTGTTTGAACCGCCAGCCGTCTGGTTAGCAGGCAAGTGTCTTAGCCACTATGCTACCAGAGCTCCAGGTAATGACAATTGATGTTTATAACAAGGCAATACATTACAAATATGAAAAAGTCACAAAACTGGCTATTGATTCATGAAAGAATACTGTTGCTGCTAGAATTCTAGTGATAAGTGCTTGATACTATGTTTCACTAATTAAATATAAACCAGGACACTTGTGGAAACACTGTGGAATATAGTGAAGTCACTTTAGGTACCTTTGACAAGTAAGGTTCTGCTGCCTTTTAGTTTTACAATTCTATTGATAATGAAAAGTAATTATGTTCTTAACAGTTTCATAAGTGCCATGTAAGTGTTTTAATGAGATAACGGCAGTACCTAATGACCCTCATAGGGTCGCTATGAGTTGGAATTGACTTGATGGCAGTGAGTTTGGTTTTGGTTTGAGTACCTAATGATAGTGTATCATTAAGTGCTAAGTATATATCTGATATTACTAGATGTCAAATAGTTATGTAAATAACTATTTACAAATAGTAAATAGGCAAATAGTTATGTAAATGTATTATTATTAATAATAATATTTGACACTGCAACTAATTTTGAGTCAATGGTTTATTCTCTTGGGCAGTAATGCTTATATTTTTGCTCTATTTACTTCTGTTTGGCCTTTAAAAATCATTGAATTTTAATGTAGTAATTATGAAAAAAAAAAAAAATCATAAGTAAAATAACACAGGCAAGAGAGAATCCTTAATGTTGTCCAGTGTCTTTATAGGCTGATTCCAAAAAACATCAAAATACAGCTTATGGCCAGCATGTTTTACCATTTCTCTGAATTTCTACTTTGAAATCCAGTGCACAGTATGTTGTTGTGAGGTCACAGTATCTGACAGTGAAGAGTGAAGCAGACAGCACTCTGAATCCTATACCTCCTTTCACGAGAGGTTCACTAACCTGCCCTAATATGGCAGTGTACTTAGGCAGTTCTGTAAACCATGTGGCTTAAAAACACAAACTCACTTCTTAACTCATGGATGTTCCAGACATTTTATTTGAGAAGATGGTTTTAGAGAAAACATGGCAATACATGAGACTCTGAAATAATTCTTTCCATACTGGAATTGGAGTAAGAATCTTAGGTTGATGGTTGAATCCCAGGAGAAAGAATATATATAATGTGAAACTCTAAATTCTGCCTCCCAAAGGTTGCCACTTGCTATAACCCTGTTGTTGTTGTTAGCTATTGTCAAGTCGTTCTCTGACTCATGGCAACCCCATGCACAATGATCCAACTATTGTGATCCATGGGGTTTACAGAGGCTGATTTTCAGAAGTTGATCTCTAGGCTTTGGTTTGGAAGCTCTGCTGAAGCCTGCTCACCATAGCAACGCACAAGCCTCCACTGATAGATGGTGATGGTTGCACGTGAGGTGCATTGGTTGAGAATCAAACCCCAGTCTCTCTCAGGGAAGGTGATAATTCTACCACTGAACCACCACTGCCCTCCAAGATAGCCATGAACCAGTGAAATTTCTTTCTTCACAACTAATCTGAATTCAGCTTCTCTATTTTCCATGAAAATGCAGCAGAGAAATTGTAGTCTGGGCTGTTGAGTTCCTTATGGTGTTGTATATGTATTAGTATAGATGGCAGTGAGTTTGGTTTTTTTTGGTTTTAGTATGGAGAAAAGATAAAAACCTGGCTTAATTTTTTTTTTTTTTGAGAGAGAGAAAAATTTAGTTTAATTTCTTTTCCCTGCACTTGGGAACAAAAGATAAGTGATGGTTTACAGAGTAAAAGGCAATCTTTTCCTTTATTGTGTGTTTAACGATGAAGATGATGGTGAACATTCTCTCTCTGTCTTTAATGATTTTCTTCCTAAACAGTTTCCCTTTCTTTTAGGACACACAAGCCATGAAGCAGCATTTCAACCATCTTCCCACAAACCAAATTCAGAAGTATACTTTGACTCAAAGCCAGCACACCTTTACCTGAACATCAGGGGTTACTGAGGAATTATTCTACTCTGTGTGGGTAGATGTACCTGGACATACCTACTCAACTATATCAATATGAAATTAAATGTGAAGACAACATATATGTACCTTCTTGTGCCTGAATTTTTGGCCTTCATTTTTTTTTTTTCTTTCTTTTTTTTTGTTCTGCATGAACAGCCCTTCTAACTCATACTCTGAAAAAGTGATTTCAAGGTGTGGAACTTCTCTTTGTGAAATAACAAAAGTATTCCTTCTGTATGTGCCGTATACTACTTGTCTCAGAATAAGCTCTGAAAATGAATGTGCTTTCTAGAGAATGATCATTTAAATAAAGATTAGTAGCAAATAGTTTGTCCCAAGGAGCATTATTTCTTGATTTGTAGTCTCTACTTGAATGCGCTTGAACTCAGTCTGTTGCCAAGTCTGAATCATCTGCTGCACTTCTCTGTCTGCACAGGGATGGATGTTCTCTATTGTTCTGATGATTTGGTCTATGTTTTCAGTTGCACTGATTGCCTTGTTACATCATGTTTTGTAATGTACACATTGCTGTCCACATTATCTTTGAGGCTTTATTTAAATGTAGCTCAATCATCCCCATGTGTAAGGATGATGGTAAGGACAAATAAATTTACAACCCTTTGCCCTTTGCACATTTCTGGAGCTGAAGGAAGTAAACCGCTTCTCTTCATCCTGCTAATTATTGATTTGTAACCATAGTTGCTCTGTCAGAGCTTGTTACTATACTTTTGCCTTCTTGATCACCAGCAGTGTCTGTTCACCAAGAGCTGGTCTGTCCTGATGACTTGTCTCCCAGGTAGGTTTGATAGCATTTCTCTGTTCACCTTCCTCTCCTCTGTTTATCCCAGATATGTATGGTCCCTTCAAGAGTATGTTGGTATCCATCCTCTCTCTGCCTATTCATTGTATTTTTATTGCAGTAAACATTGCTTCTGTGCTGCTGAAAAAGTTCATCTCTGGGCATTGCTATTTTCCTATTTAATATTAGGTATAGCATTTCAGCTTGGAGTAGCCATCAACTTTTCTCCCTCCTGAGTCTATTGATTCTTGCAGTCATGCTTGTTTGTGTCATTAGACAGTGTTCTGTGGTTGTGGAAGTCATGTGATCACACGAACTCCAGAAAACAGCTCTTTCCTTGTTACCCTAGTAACAAAAAGAGGCATTTGGAAGAGAATTATGATTATTTTGTTCCAAATCTTTTGTTGAAGTAGATTACTTGAAAATATCTCTTCCTTTGCTAATAATAAGGGGCAAGGTGATAGTGAAATAGAAATTTATATGATTACAATTCATTTTATTTTATTGCATTGAATTATATCTAAAAAGCATGGATAATTTTTATAACAACTCCACACTAAATAGGCCTTAAGCTTTATTGTCATTGCCTAGGACTGCTCTTTTGAGGTAGAGTAGAATGGAGAAATATTTATTTAGCTAGGTGACAATTTTCCTTCTATTGCTCATATTTTTAAATGAAAATGATTATTCATGGTAATAAGCAAAGATAATAAAACAGACAACTTAGTTAAATTATTATTATTTTTCTTACTCTGCTTTTCTGAAGTCAGAAAATTTAACATTCTAGGGAGAGGATTTCGACTTAGTTACATTTCATTTTGTTTACAGTATTACTAAAATGCAAAAATCACTATGTCAATACTATGTAAGTAGTATCAGAGTCCCTGACTGATCCAAATGGTTGATGTGCTTGGTTGCTAACTGAACTGTTGGAGGTCTGAGTCCACCCAGAGGTACCTTGGAAGAAAGGCCTGGTGATCTATTCCTGAAAGATCAGCCACTGAAAACCTGATGGAGCACAGTTCTACTCTGACACACATGGGCTCACCATGAGTTGGAGTCAACTTAATGGCAACTGATTTTTTTCAGTATCATTTTCTTCTGGGCTTGCTTCTACCCCTCACTTCAGTATTCAGTGTTAGTGGGTCCAGAGGAATACTGAAGGAAATACCCAGATATAGACTGTACGACATCAAAGTATGTTTAAAACACCAAGACACTTTATCAATATAGAGAGCTTCTAGAAACTAACCTGCATTATGGGTAGGTAAAAAAGAGTGACTCAAAAGAAAACCCCAAGGGAACAAAAATATCATTCTGCAAAAAAGAGAGAAAGGATTAGAGAAATGGAATAATTATATGATGATAAGAAGCTATGGAGGATTGAAAGAATTTGATTTATTAGTCTACAGAGGCCTAAACCTTCAAAGTAATGGTTTCTAGTTTCTTTTAATTAGGAAGGCAACAACATAAAAATTTGAGTGCATATTTTCTAACCACTGAATAAATGCTCCTTTTTTCAACTCTTTCTTTTTTCTCTTCTGTGGCTTCTCCAAGTTTCTTTGGGTTGAAATCCTCATTTGGTGTAAGTGATAAGGGT